GCGGGCTGGGCTGGGGTTCTGGGGTGCTGCGCCGGGCCCCTGACCTGCGCCCTGGCTCTGCAGGATCCTGGAGCTAGACCTGGTTGTACGGGACGAGAACGGGAACATCCTGGACCCGGACAGAACCAGCATCATCAGCCTCTTCCAGGCTCACAGGCAGGCCACACGCCTGATCAGTGAGCGCATCCAGGAGGAGATGGTGAGTCTGGGCTGGGGTTCTGGGGTGCTGCGCCGGGCCCCTGACCTGCGCCCTGGCTCTGCAGGATCCTGGAGCTAGACCTGGTTGTACGGGACGAGAACGGGAACATCCTGGACCCGGACAGAACCAGCATCATCAGCCTCTTCCAGGCTCACAGGCAGGCCACACGCCTGATCAGTGAGCGCATCCAGGAGGAGATGGTGAGTGCAGGACGCTCCCAGGGCCCTCGAGTCCCGCCCCACTGAAATGAATGGAGATGCCTGTCTCCCAAGCCTGGAAGGGACCCCGAGAGGTCACGAGTCCAGTCCCCTGCCCTCGCAGCAGGACCCAGCACATCCCTGGCAGGGGTCCCCCAGATCCCTGAATGGCCCCTCAAGGATTGAACTCCCACCCCTGGGTGTAGCAGGCCCCTGCTCAAACCACTGAGCTGCCCCTCCCCCTGTCAGGGTGCTAAACACCCCCAAGGACCTTCATTGCCCTCCGCTGGGCCCTCCAGTGCGGCCATGTCCTGTCTGTAGTGACCTGGGGCGCTCCCTGGGGCTCAGGCTTTCCTGCTGCCAGCTGGAGCCAGGCTGGGGAGGGGCCAAGCAGGTGGGAGCCCCTTTGGCCTTGACCTGCCCGTCTCCCCACAGTGCTCCCGGCACAGCGAGCTGGGCTGTGGTGCCCACCTGGCCTCGCCTTCCCACAACCTCTACCTCTGCGTCCGCAACTTCGTGTGCAACATCGGCGAGGAGGCCCAGCTCTTCACGGCGCTCTACGACCCCGGCCAGCAGAAGATGATCAGGTACCGGCCCCAGCAGGAGGCACAGAGGGACTTGCACCTG